AAAATCCAACGACCCCCCATTCATGGGCTCTCAGACGTCCGCCTGCAATCCCTCAACAGATAAAGTACGTTCTTTCCTGGGCGTGTTTCCCCAACGAACTGGCAGCCTCAGGTCATGCCCAACCTCACAACAGCTCCGGCTGGCTTGTTTCAGCCCACACCTCCACCTTACCAGAGCCATAGACCCTAAACTTCTTACCTCACCTGCAGCCAATCAGAGACGTGTGCACAAGCCGATCAGGCTACCTTGTGATCCGACCTGATAAAAGACCCCAACACCCGGCCCTCGGGGCCCACGGGCCCCTCTCGCCTGTGGCAGCGTGACCTAACACACTCCTCTCTGTTCTCGCCTTTTGCCTTTTGTACCTGCTTTTACTGCCCGTGACACCGGCCCCCCGCTGTGTCCCTCAACATTCTTCACACCCTGCCGTGGTCAGGAGCAGTCTGTTCATTAGATTAATTCCACATTGTATTTTGGGCCCTATTTCCCATCCCACCCTGCTCTCCACCCCAAATCATCCTTAACCACTGAAATAAACGCACAGCTTAAAAGTTGAGAGTTGTGTCGTATTTGGTGGAAGGACTCCAGCCGGGATGGCAGCCCCTCAGATGCTCTGAGGGACGGCTCTGAAGAGGTAGGGGAGGAGCCAGGATATATAGGAGCTTTACAGCAAAGACCAGGTAGTTGAAACAGGAAAAGATTACTTGTTATCTAAAGAAAACCAGGCACCTCAAGTTAAAGAATTGAGCACTTTTCTATGCATGGGAGGAAGCAAACATTTGGGCTCATTGAATTCATTCCTTTGACAAGCACCTAGCTATCCAGGGCCAGTATCCTGCCCTTTCTTATTCTGAGTTCCCTCAGGGGGCACCATAGTGAGTGGCTGCAGAGGCCGGGCTGCAGGCTTGTCTTCACTTGTGGGGGGGGGACGGACAGCGGTTGATGACTTGATGGCTTCTGCATTCTTTGTTTACTGATGTGGTTTGCAGTATTTTTCGTTCACACCACAGTTCCGGTCTGTAACAGAAGTTGCGCTTTTCGGTCAGCGGCAGCATGAAGAGGCTCTGGTGCCGTGATAGCCCTGATTTGAATATAAACCTTTTCCCAATATCCAGGGTCACAGGAGAAATTAGGTACAAGAATGAATCCTTTCCCACAGTATCCTAGGCCTCAGAGAAATTGAACTGGATCTTACGTTAAAGTCCAAAAAAGCTCACGTTCCAGGAAGGAAAGCAATCCGACGCGTTGTCAGGTTCTCTGCCACAGTCTCTGAGGAACAGCCCCGTAACTCCCGGCTCCTGTTCCCGGCAGCGGGAGCCCACAGCTAGGCTTTGCTTTCACAATCGAGGGAAGTTCTGCTGCGTCGGGGCAGGTAACTTTCCCCTCCTTCTCTCCGAGTTCTGCGGCATGTGTAATCTTGTGCATACAGGGGCCCAGTAAAAGTGTGAGCCCCAGAGGGCAGCCAGGTAACTTCGGCCTCTGTAACTTCCTGAGCCAGGGTGGGGTGGGGGCCGGGGTGCAAGGAAGGCAGGCAGCAGGGTGCCGTGCGAAGAGGCTACCCTCTTTGCAGTGAGTCTGTTAGCTCTCTTCCTGGGCCAGCCCCTCTCCAGGGTAAATTAGGCGGTTTAGGGGAAGGCAAGGCATCTTTCCCGAATCTGCTGGACTTTGCCTTTCGCTCAAAATAACCCTTCTGCCAAAGAGACATATTTTGGGGTGAAAGGCCTGCTCCCCTTCAGTTTGAAAAAGAAACCCTCCCTGGAGCCCTCTCTGGCTCCACCTGTCGGAGGCCTGGAGTTGGCAAGGTGAGGCGGCGGCGGGCCAGAGGTGGGGGTGTCTGCCCAGCACTTTGTGTCCTGGCCTTCCTCTCCCTGTGTGAAATAAAATTCAGATTTTTATGGCAAGACAAGAAAAATTTAAACATGAAAAATTCTTCTCTGCCCTCTTGGCTCCTCTCTCCCACCACGTGCACTGTGTATCTGCATTTATGCATCAACGAGACCTCCCCCATCAGCAGGGACACCTGCTCAACCATAAGGAGCAGCAGTCTCCCAGCACCAACAAGACAGCTCACTGGAAGCAACCTAGGTGCCCATCGATGAGGACTGGATAAGGGAGCTGTGGTGTATGTATACAGTGGAATACTACTCAGCCATAAAAAGAATGACATAATGCCATCTGCAGCCACATGGTTGGACCTAGAGATGATCATACTAAGTGAAGTAAGTCAGACAGAGGATGACAAATATCACTTGTCACTTATGTGTGGAATATAAGAAAATGACACAAAGGAAATTTTTCACAATACAGAAATGGGGAGAGAGTACAGCTTAGTGGCAGAGCTTGTGCTTAGCACGCACAAGGTCCTGGGTTCAATCCCCAGGACTGCCATAAAAATAAATAAACCTAATCACCACCCCAAACAAAGAAAAATGGGAATCAGGGTAGCGGGGCGATAAAGGACATGGTTCTGGAGCACACTGGCCTGGGTTCAAATCCTGACGTCCCCTGTGCTAGAAAGTAATGGAAACTCTGTGCCTATTTTGTAAAACACGAACAAGCTAACCAACCAACCAACCAGAAACAGACTCACAGACATAGAAAACAAACTTATGGTTACCAAAGGGGATGGGGAAGGCAGGGATAAATTAGGAGTTTGGGATTAACGGATACACACTACTATATATAAAATTAAGAACAAGATCCTGCTGTAGAGCACAGGGAACTGTACTCAATTCCTTGTAATGACCCACATGGAAACGAGTCTGAAAAGGAATATACAGATTATAACTGAATCACTGTGCTGTACATGAGAAACTAACACAATGTCGTAAACCAACTACTTCAATAAAAACAACCAACCAAGACAACTTCTCAGGAGGGACCACCCCGTCTTCACCTCACCCGGGGCACGTGGCTACCATGAGGGCGCTTAGATTGTGCCGGCTGTGAATGGCGCGTCGTTTGACGTGCAGCCCTTTGGAAAGGCGTGGATAACCGAGGGCTGCTCTCTAGCCAGCGGAGCAGTTCTCAGAGCTTTCTGAGATGCTCTTCCCAGGCTGCAATCCTCAAATTGGGCTCGAGCAAAATTCTCCATTTCTGTCTTAAACTGACTGATTAATATTTTGTCGACACCTGCCTGGGGTTTCTTCAGCCCTCTGGGGTTAAATCAACACACCCAGAGTCTCTCTTCTTTAAAAAAGTCTAAGAGTTACTAGTGCTAGTGGCTAGTGAGACCCCTAAGTTAGAAGGCCCACAAAAGTGTGGGTACCTGTTGCCAGCTGGAAAGAATTCACAGCTGAGGCCGAGGGACAGAGCAAAAGCTGCTTTTATTTCTAGAAGGGAAAATGGAAGGAAAGTGCTCCAGCAGGGAGTCGTCAGCCAAGACGGTGGTCAAGAGGGCTCCAGCTCCGGGTCAGGCCACGAGGGCTTTATGGGAAGCTTCTGCCATCACGTCCTCCTTCCAGGTGTGATGGAGTCAATCAGTCCTTGTTCGGGCTTTTCTGGTGGTTGCCATGGCAATTGTCAGCTGTCATGGCGCTGAGGGGAGTGTGTCACTTAGCAGCTAACACATCACAATGAGCGTATATGAGGCTTAAGGTCCACTGGAAGTTAGTTCCTCCACCGTCTGGGATTCCCTAGGTTGTGTCCTGTCTGCAGCTGCCTCCGGAGACAGATAAGAGTAACTGGTTTCTAATCGAGGGAGGGGCAGGGGTACGACCCTGGGAGCAACAGCCTTGGTAACAAAAGGGAAAGTTGCTTTTAACCAGAGTGCCAGCAATCTGGTGGACCTAGCGTCCCCTCAAGAAAAAAGTCTCCAGAGATTCTGCTCAGCCATGAAAGTTGCAAAGGGAGATGAGGGGACAGGCCCAGGTAGTGGTCGTGAGAGGTGGCCGGCGTGGTCGCCGCCCCCGGCGCCTGCAGCCTGTCCTCACTGCTGGAGCCGCTCTTTTGTGGCGCAGGGGGGCCTGGGGGACATCAGCAATTCTGTCAACCAGAGGCGGGGTGCAGTGGGGTGCAGGGTCCCTCTCGGGGTCGCGAGGACTGGTACAAGTCTCACATCGCCTGATACACGTGGATGAGCACATGTTTTAGAAAATAGTTCTCTCCGCTTCCCAGAGGTTTTCCAGGCAAACCCCCAGGGCTCTCCGGGGGCAGAGGCTGGGGCTGACTGAGGGGCAGTGGAGGAGGCCCCCTGGTCAGTGGGCAGTTCAGATACACCAGCACGGGCTTCCCGCCCCAGCTCTGCCAGGGGGAGGCCGGAGCCCAGGCTCTGAGAGGAGGAGGCCAGTCCCTCACATCCCTAGGGCCCCCAGGAAGCGGGGGCAGCCCCCCCCAAACCAGGAAGTGGATACTTTAAAGAAAAGCCACCAGTTGACCGACATAGCATCTGACTGAGTCATCACACCAGATGGACCTGGACTCTTGCAAAGCCTGGCGAGCACAATTCCCCGTGACCTCCCCGACCTCTGGGTGGAGTCGGAGGCTCAGGACTGAGCCCAGCACAGAGGGCGCCCAGTGCCCGGGGCACGGATGGGCTGGGCTCTGAAGTGGAATCTGAAGCCACACAAGCGCCAGAAGAAAACAGGTGCCTCCCTCCCTGACCTCAGGGCAGAGAAGAGCTTCCTGACCCGCAGGGAGAAAGCACAGGCCCCAGATGGCGCCACTGCGCTAAAGCCGTGACCCACACCCAGCCCCTCCCCCCACCCGACTTACCTGCACCTAAGCCTCCTGGAAGTGCAATATGCGATCTGGTCAGCCGGCCGGAGTTCCCGGTCAGCGCTGAGGAGGCGAACGGCCCGTGGGCGCACTCCTTCCCCAGGGGCAGAGGCTTATGCCTGATAAAACCCCCTGCTCTTCCCTCCCCCGCCAAGAAGAGGTCCTGGCCCTGAGTGACCCTTCTTGTCTTTGGCGAATGACCTCTCTGCCCTACCCTCCTGTCTGTAGAAGCGTCCTTTTTTCTTGTGCTTTACAGAAGTGGAAGTATAACTGAGGTGCAATATTGTATCTGTTGTAAGTGCGCAACGTAGCGACTCCCAGGTTTTAAAGGCATGCTCTTCCCGGTTCTACAATGTTGGCTGTGTTCCCCGTGCGCACACGTGCCCTCCTAGGTTGCTTCACACCTGACAGTTTGTGCCTCTCACTCCCCTGCCCCTGCACTTCCTCTCCCTGCCCCTTCTCCCACTGGTAAGCACTGGTTTGCTCTCTCTGTGGATCTGCTTCTTTTTTGTTATATTTGCTAGTTTGTTGTACTTTTTAGATTCCACTTATAAGTGATGTCATACGGTATTTGTTTATCTCTGTCTGACATTTTACTAAGCATAATGCCCTCCTAGTCCATCCATGTTGCTGCAAATGGCAATATTTCATTCTTCTTCATGGCTGAGTAGTATTCCAGTGTGTAATACAAATATATACGTATATAGCACATCTTCTTTATCCAGTCATCTGTTGATGGACATTTAGGTTGCTTCCATATGTTGGCAACTGTAAATAATGCTGCTGTGAACACTGGGGTGTGTGCATCTTCTCAAGTTAGTGTCTGTGGTTTTTTGGGGATATGTACCCAGGAGTGGGACTGCTGGGTGACACGGCAGTCTGATTTTCAGTGTTTTGAGAACCCTCCACCCTAAAGAACCTCCTGTCCTGGCCGCCCCAATGCCCTGCTCCTTGCAGGGTGGTGTGCTGCCAATTCGCACGTCACTGAACAGCCCCAGCTAGATCTTCAAATTTGCTCAGCTGAATTTTGTTCTTTAACATAACTAAGATGTAGAATCCAGACAAAACAAAAGGTGAATAAATTTGACTACATAAAGGTTTAAGATTTGTGTGACGAAGTACAAACAGCAGACAAGCTGGGAGAAGATATTGGGAACACACAGGACAGACAAGGGACTGGCGTCCCCAGGGCGTCAAGAAGCCTCATAAAGCTGAACAGGAAAATGGAGAAAAGATATGAGCAGACAACTCACATTAAAAAAAAGTGACCCTAAACATACGAAGAAGTTTTAAATTCACTCATCATTAGAGAAATGCAAATTAACATAAGATGAGAGCCCACTTCTCACCTATCAAAGTGGCAGGAAATTACAACTCCGACACACTGTGTTGTGAAGCTTCGGGGAAACCAGCACATGCCCTTCGCTGGAGGGAGGCAAATGGTACTGTTCTGAAGGGAAACTTGCGCACACCCAACAAAAATCTATACGCATTTACTTTGACCAAGCAATCCTACTTTTAGGAATCTGCTCTGAAGATGCACTTCAAACAGTGTGAAACACATATTCACAAGGGGATTCGCTGCAACACGGTTTGCAATGGCAAACCAGTAGGATCAACCTAAATGTCCAAGCTTAAGAAAGAGGTGGAATAAACGGTGGTGCAGCCACACAGTGGCGTTCCGGGCGCTGGGAAAAGCAGGAGGAGGGCTGCTCCACACAGAGGGTGAGAGAAAAGCACGCTCAGCGCTTCCGCTCCTTTAAGAAAGACGGCGACGCGAGAGAATGCATGTGTGTCTGCTCCTTTGTGGGAAAGACACTTGGGAGGGTAAACCAGAAACTGAAGAGGCTGGTTACCTCCGGGGGTGGATGCGCCTCACAGAGTCCATCCTTCTGTGGAAATTCAGCTGCTGGAACCAAAGTAATGCTTCGCCTAGCCGAAAAGCAAACAAGCAGTCTCACTGCTCAGGACCGCGGGAGCGTCCAACGCGCACGCCAGGCTCCACAGACGGGTCCGTCACAGACGAGGGAGCCCCGCCGAGGGGGGCGGGGAGGACAGAACCCATCCAAGTCGCCCAGGAAACAGCCACCAAGCTGGACGCCGCAGGCTGACACCTCCGCAAAACGGGCCACGTGTGAATGTTGGGGTGAGTGGAGTGCCCTCAGGTTGTGGTCTGGGAGTCCTGAAACAGCTTTATCCGGATATGACAACTATGCAAGTGCCTGAGTCTCTGTAGTTAAGAACTGGTAAGCACCCTCACTGTTGGGGAAAGAAGTTAGGAGAGGGAAGAGGAAGGCTGGCCACGAGCCCTGCATTGTTGACTGGGACTCCCACCAGAAGCGTGTGGATTTTAAATACATTAAGAAAGATACAGATAAATGGAGGTGCATGTTTGTGCACAGTTACAACGCGTGCATGTATTTCCCATCTCCACTGAGAGGGCCCGGAAGCCAGGAGCACAGAGCGCCCAGGAAAGGAGCCAGGCTCCTTGGAGAAACAGCTGACGCCAGGGCAGGGCAGGGACTCCCCAGGGTGGGCCTGGAGCGCCCTGAGGTGCCGGAGCCCGAGGAAGCACTCAAACTGTAAACAAAACCAGACGCGGCTGTGGACAGGATGTAGGTGCCAACCCCAGGAGCCCGCAGCGGTACGAGCCAGGACACCGTCAGCAGCGACGCAGTGAGAGTCACTGGGCTGTAGGCCAAAGAGGCAGGTAAGTGTCCCTCCGTCCTTACTGACCTAAAGAAGCGGCTGATTTAATACGTAAACGGAAGATAAGGGAAGCTCTTCTTTACAGCAGAGTTCTAGTTACCTAGTGCCGAAGGAGAGGTAAACAGAAAGCCACCACTGGGCAGCAACTGACGGGGACGAAAACTGCGGGAGAAAGTTGGAGGAGAAACGAGATTTGCACACTCTCGAAATGGATTAATTATCCATGATGAAAACACAGCGGTTTTACAGGGAGACCCTAGTAGATGCCGTCTGCACCAGTGGCCAAGGGCAACATCACTGCTAGTAGACACAATATGATACGTTTTGCGTCCATGTCACGAGCTCCATGTTAGGGTGCACTGGGAAGGTCCCAACATCATGTCTATAGTACTGTTGTCAAAAATTCATGATCTCTGTTAAAAAGGAGGTGACAAACCCAAAGGAGTCACTGGTGTCAGGCCACACGGCAACGAACCAAAGCTTAACACCTAACCTAACTGCAGTTTAAACCCTACCCAGGAATGTGGCCTTTAACCAGCCAACCTGGAATTCCGGAGTCAGCAGCCTCCACTCCCCTTCAGAGGGCAGCCTCGCCTAGAGCAATGTGTTCCTTGCTAATAGTTTCCTTTTCTCACTCCTTCCTGCCTTTAAAAACTTGGATTTTCTGCAGCTATCATGGAACTCCTTTCTGTTGCTGGATGAGAGACTGCCTGATTCGTGAATCGCTCAATAAAGCCAATTAGATCTTCAGATTTACTCAGCTGAATTTTTGTTATTTAATAGACTTGGTGGCAGCAGTGGGATCAAAAGACACTTCCAGCAGCTTGGGGACAGGGAGATACGCAATCATGGTACCATCAGCCTCTTCTCAAGTTCACTGCCTCTCACTGTCTCCAGGGGCCGTGGTGAGTCTGCCCTTGGTTCTGAGATCTGTGTCCACTCCTTACCGAATTGGCTTACAGGGCAGGACCACTCATGCTGGCAGCCAGCTCTGCCAGGAGCTAAGCCCCTAGACTTTCCGACTGCAGTTCCCAGATTTCTGTGTGGATTTCCCCCCATGGGTTCTGTCCAGAGAGAGCCCCTCACCTGCAGCCTCCTTGTTGAGGTCTGCTGACCCAGCCCTTTCCCCAGGCCGAGGTTCCATGTGCGCGGGTGGTGCACACGGGGCCTTCTCTTGGCCAGGGTGCAGTAGCATCTCTTGGTTGCTGCTGGCGTGTTAAGGTACACGTTTTTTTTGTCTCATTTTGTGTAGATAAAGGTGATTGCTAATGGGGATCTCAGAGGCCAATACCTGCAAAAATTGCGGAGCAGGGGTTGAGCACTTAACAGCTGTCAGAGCACAAGGCGTTGCACCCAAGGGCCCGTGTGTTAGGGTAAGATGGTCATAGGAGGGGTTCAGTTGACTCTGGGACACCTGCCAACCTGAAGGGCACTTCGGAGCAGTGAGTGCACCGTGATGTGCATGCACCGGCCCCGACCCAGCTGCGCACCCCGCGAAGTATTAGCTAGGCTCCAAGAGACCCGAAGCCTTAGCTCACGGGATCTGTGAACTCCAAACAGTCAGGTGCTCCACCTCCCAGTACACCTGTTAATTTTAGGTCTGATAACTATGGGCATGGAAGCTATATATATCAACCAAATTGGCAAAATATTACTAAAAACGACCTGGAATTACAGCGGCCATCACAGGGAACGTTCCACTTAAACAAGATTGTTCATTTCAGAGGTGCACTTGAGAGTGAAGGCTCCCAAATCGAGCAGACAGGTGACACCTGTCTTGACTGGTGTGCAGGAGCCTCCACAAGGCCTCAAGGCTGGAAAGCAGCCAGAAGGCTGGTGGAAACAGGCAGGAGGAGGCCTGAGGCAGCAGAGGACGGGCCGCAGGGCCTCCCCTGCAGCCTTCTCTCCCCAAGCCTCTCATTTTACTGCCTGGACAGCCTTTTCGCTCTGGAGAGGTGACCACATGGGTGCCTTTTAGAAGAAAGCTGCCCGAGGCTGCAGGCCTTCCTCCTCGGTACCCTTCACTCCTCGGTCAAAGAGCAAAGCAAGGGCCAGAGTTCAAACATTCCCTTTAGGGCTCCCAGGAAGGAGCCCAAGATGGTTTTTGAAGGGTTTAGAGTCATTCCTGGGGCCTCTGACCCGGGCTGTCAGATCTTTATCAGCCTGTGCACATGCAGGGAGGGCCCAGGGGCGCCCCAAAGTGGAGGCGGAAGCAGAGTGTCGTCCTTCCGAGGGTGGTATTCGAGGTCCGCCATGTCCAACGTGGTCCTGTAACGGACGGGAAGGAGCTCGGACAGTGGCAGCTGGGAGCTCCTCCGTAGTGTCCCGAGTCTGCACGGTGAACGAGGGCACCCAGCCTGTGCTGGCTGCCCTGCTGATAAGTGCGTTATCCCCTGAGATTAGAGGGTTAATCAAAAGGCAGAAAATAGGGCGGGAGGCCACCCAGCTGATGGAACGCACTTTGAAAGGACTTTGGACCAAGGTTGCAAACAAAGGTCCTTCAAACCAGTGGCCTTACAGCTACAATGCTCCAAGGCCAGAAACCTGCCCTCCACAGGGCCCACTGTCAGAATGAGGGCCCATGAATGGGACTTCATTCGCGATCAACTGGGGCACCAAAAAAGGTTGTCCTCAAAGGTCCCGTGCAAATTCCTCAGCACCCACTCAGCTGACCCAAGGAAGGCCCCCCACGTGGGCCCCGCCCAGGACTGACAGGACCCCAAGGGACCCTCCGTAAACTGCTGCCAGGGAGAAACTACAGCTAAAAGTAACGGAAAACTTTGCCAAACTCTAGTAGCTGCTCGGGCTGCCGTCCCTACCTAAACCCTGCCCTCCCAGGACAGCGAATCCCTCAGAGCGAAACACAGCTTCCAGGGCGAGGCACCCGGTTAGAGAGAATGTCTGTCTCAACCAGCGCAAGTGACTCCGGGGCCTTTTACTGGAGACGGGGCGCGGGCCCGCGGAGAGGAGGCCCAGGCGGAGCTCTCCTTCCCGAGTTAAGGAGCTGATAGCTCTGCCTCCAGTGGAGATGCCGCCTTGTCGTTTCCTGGCCGACCTGCACCTGGCCTTTAATGCTCCCCACCGTCTGTCCTTGTCACAGAAGAGGTAGAAGTCCAGCAAAAGTCCCCTCAACTAGCTGAGGTGCCTGAGAACCTGAGGGCTCCCTCTGATACTGACACTGGCAGGACCTGTAAAATCCAGAGACACAGCTAAACCTCCATAGCCATCAAAGCCTCCGGCCATACGAGGCCTCCCACCCTCCAGACCTAATCTCTCTCTGTTCCAGCCCCTGCAACGCAGGTCCTGCCTGTCCGAAAGCCTCGGGCTCTGAGAGCTGTTGACAAGTCAGTGACTCCATGCTTCCCGGCTGTTCGAAGCCTGAACACCCTCCGTAGCATGTTCTGATGGACTCCAAGTGGTTCAGGGCCACGGGCCTTTGTCAGCCTTCTTCAGCATCTCCCAAGTGCTGCACTGAGAAGGGAGCAGCGTCCCACCCCTGTTACAAGATGCAGGTGCTGGCTGTGCTCAGTCACCAAAGAGGTGACCAAAAGGGCCCGTCTGTTTGCTGACTGTTAACTGAAAAAGGACAGAGTCTCCGAGGAATAACTACGATTGTCTCCAGACACTAGTTCGTTACCTGAGTCCTAATTTAAGCCCTGAAAGAATTCAGCTGTCTCCAGGAAGAGTTAAACTAATCCAGGAGTTTCCTGGACCCACAGCTGAGTGGCAGCCTCGTGGATTTCTAGGCCTGCCGGGATGTTGTAGACTGCGGGTTGCTAATTTCCCTGTTTGCTTCCCCGCTTTGTGAAGTTGCGACATTTCAGGCCCCAAGCCCTGTCCCTGGGAAGATAAGCCTAAGAGGGGGTCCAGGACTAGGACAAGCCCCTCTCCCTCGGGCCACCCCGCTCTCCTAGACCTTTCACCTTATTTGTCATGAGAGAGCGAGCCAGGCCCTGGGAGGCTCCCGCAGACCCGGTAGTTCACAAGGGCCTGCTTCCCGGCGAGGCACACACGGGACCTGCGACTGGCGTTGGCCCAGCCGCCCTGAGGCTGCAGCGGCCTCGCACACTTAGTAGAGACGGATTTGGCCCCAGGAAGTGACGGGTATTTACAGACCTCTCACACCGTCCAAAGTCTTCCTGACCGCGCTGACTTGGCGTTTCCCAGCAGGGAGCCCAGCCCACAACCCAGTCTCCTGCTCCACCTCATAGCCTGCATCCGAAACGCTGCCACATCCTTAATCCTGACTCCCTCCAGCCTCGCCGGCCAGCGGGGACGGGAAAACGTCCCGCTTCTCACCCCACACCCTGGTTCACACCCCTCGCCTGGTCTACTTGTTTGTTGACGGGTCACACTGCGCAGACAAGAAAAGGGATTTCCTAGCTGGCTGTGCTATTACTGCCCGGTAGGACCTGCTGGGAAGGGCACCTCCCACCAGCCACATCAGCCAGGTGAGGGCGGGCTTCCCGCGCTCGCCCGAGCACGCCAGTTGTCAGAAGGACGCACTGCAAACGTTCATACTGGCAGCCAGGATGCCTTTGGGGTGGCCCGTGATTTGGGGATGTTACGGAAACAAAGGCGGTTTCTTCATCCTCTGGGACCGCCGTGAAAAGTGGGCCGCACGTAAACGAGCTCTGTCTGCTATCCTCTTGTCTTCTGAGGTTGCTGTCATCAAAGTTGGGTCCCACGAAGAGGCGTGACCCTGGGTGTCAGGGAAGCGCCCGGTGGCCTTCATGCAAAGGCAGCGGCAGTAGAACAGTGAGATTGTGGCCCAGCAGAGGAAGTCCTTGCTGTTGTTGTGAAAAATGGCCCCTCTTTGCCCACCCTGGTGTCCTTGTAACACGGCAACCGCCTGCTCCAGCATCAGAGAAATTCAGATGGGTAAACAGTGGCTGTAAATTAAACAAACAGTCGGGGCTGCGGGAAGCCTGCGATGGCTTCTTGGTCCTTCGTGGCTCCCTGGCAAGCTCCATTTTCAGCTTCTGCTCCCTTCACCCCCACAATGCATTTAATATGGTTCAAATTATAAATGAACACTGGTGGGGAGACCTCTACAAAACTGTGAAAACAGTTTACCATCAGTGTCTGACCTGCCAGGTCCACAACCCTCGAAAAAGTCTTTGTCCCCAGAAGCCTCAAACCCCTTCCCCTCAAGCCCTGCGCACACCGGTGGCTGGATTCATTCCACTGCCTCCAGTGTCAGCTGCCAGTCTGTGCTTGTACAGTCGTATACCTCCCTGGTGGGTCAATGCCTTCCCTCACTGCAGGGGTGATGCCCTCTTCGTGGCAAAGAAGCTGTCAGAGAATGTGTTTCTCTGCCACTCGGGGTGAACCGTCCACAATCTCCAGTGACCGAGGCACCCACTTCACTGGGCAGATCACACAAGTCTCAATGAAGTCCTTGCAAACTCCTTGGGGCCTTACTGCCCTTCTCACCCTCCATCACTAGGTAGTCCTCAGACTTTGAATGTCTAAACTGCAGAAACTGCCGGACTCCCCTGGCCTGAGGTCTTGCTGACTGTTCACAGGACCCACTTTGGGAGATGTAGATTCGCTGCCCGGGAGATGCCACCCGCAGACTGATGTCCACTGGTGTGCGACCTTCTGCTGGTCCCTTGCTGCCTCTCGCTCGGGTTACCGAGCTCAGGTTCAGCTGCTGGCTGCTCGAAAGCCAATACTGGGGAGACAAGTGTTGGTTGGAAGGGAAAGGTTGCCTTATTCAGGAGACCCACAACCCAGGGAGAGGGTGGGCTTGTGCCCAAAAGCCAATTCCAAAGAGTCTGCTTGACCACGAAAGGGTCTAAAGGGAGAGTCATGTGGGGAGAGGGAGCGGAGTCTCCATTATTGCCCACTATGTGCAGACTTCCTTCTGGCTGCGGGGGGAGGGAGCAGGGCGGGGCTCCAAGTATCTCGCGCTCAGCCTGCAGTTACTGTCCTCCACCTGCGTTAAGCCTAACCCTAACCTTTGGTTCCTGCAGAAGAACTCAAAGGTGTTGCTCTGCATGTTCCTTGAGGAGGAAGCAGGGCTCTGCCCAGGGCTGCACTGTTGTGTCTTGACTCCTTGTCTCTGCACTCCCTCCCTCCCCTGATTAACAACTGACTGAATCTGCCCTTTGGAACGCAGGGGAGGTCATGGAGGCTGAATGAAGCCAACTTCCAGTAAACACAAAACAGGGAATTGGAAAGGATTTCCAGGACCGCCCCACTGGGTCCTGCTCCGTTCCCTAGTCTGACAGCTGCTGGCAGTCTCTGGTGGCTGACAGTCAAGTTCACCGCCAACAGGTCAAGGGAGCGCTCCCAGCCCCAGTTCAAAGGATCCGATGCTCAGTCTGGAGCCTGGTGGCTGGGCCTTCTGGAAGCTTCACCAGAGGAAGACAGCCCTTGATGTCATTGGAAGGGGACTTACTAAGTGCTGGTGCCCGCCAACACTGCGGCAGAGCCCGAGGCTTGAGCCTGGCACGCACATCTCACCGCCAAAGAAGGCCCCACCTGACAGCTGGTCCTGTGCAGACGCGGGGCCTCGGAGCAAACTGGCAAGTCAGGACTTCACACTGTACCTGAAACGTGAAACTCTTTCTTCTCATTCTCTCCCTCACGCTGGCATTGAATCTGAGTCCCCCTGAAGCTGATTCCCCTGCCGATGAATGGCTGCCCTCTCCACCAAAGCTTCGTTCCCTTCCTGCTCCTCCCGGTTCCCTCGGGACCGAGGGGAAGCCAGGGCACGGGCCTGAAGCCAGGCAGGGCCGTGCAGGCCCCCCCGTACGAAGCCCCTCCGTGTCCCCTGCTGCTTATTGTAGAGAAAGGCTTCAGTCTCCCAGAACTCCCTGAGCTCCAGGGAGCGGACCACAGGGTCACTGATTAGGGAGATGCGGGAAGGCAGAAACAAGGAACAGCAGTCAGACAAGAAAAGGAATGACAGGAGTTCAGGAATGACAGGAGTTCAGCAACGACACAGCCCTAGTCCCTCCTCCAGGGGTGCCCGTGACAGCCAGGCGGGTGTGGCCGAGTCGTCGTTCAGGAGGTGAGCCTCCCCCCGCCTCGTGTGTCCCCCAACGCCAGTAGTCTCGGCGTCTCTGACTCCGTCTTGTATCCATCTCTGCCCTGCATGCACACAAGTTAGTCACCAAGGAGCTTTGCCTGCAGTGTATGTGAGAGCCCCTTTCCTGGAAACTCCCCCACGGTGACAAGAGAATATGAACAAGAAACATTAACATTTGTCTTATGAAGCAGAGCAGGGACGTCCCCGCCAGATGAACATCAACCAGAGTCCACTGGCCAAGGACAAAGCTCCTGTGACCTCCCGCAGCCCACGGCCCTTCCATCTCCCGACCTCACCCCCGCCCACTTCCCCTTCCCTCACCATCGAAGAAGCCTGATGTCCACCCCAAGTTAAGGTGGTTCTTTGGGACACTAGTCCACCATCTTCTCGGTTTGCTGGCTTTCCGAATAGTTGCTATTCCTTCCTCAATACCTTGTCTCTCATTGGTGACTCACTGGCCGGTCGTGGTGGGTAACACATGTCACCCTCATCTGTATCTTCAGGCTTTGTTAAGAGGGTAACCTTTCAGACTGCCAGATCTGTCATCAAAGATTCTGATCCGTCCCTGGGCCTCCCCAAGGCCAATGTCTCTTCTATTCCAAATGTCACCACAAAGTACAACCGACTCCCCTAGAAATCTCTTGCTGAGTCCAGCTCTATTCCCAAGCCCAAGCTCGTTCTGCTCGCCCCACGGCAGACCAGTGAGTCAAGCGACAAGGCGTGGGGACAAGCAACAGCGACTTTATTCGAAGAGCCAGCAGCGGAGGAGATGGCGGGCCAGTGCCCAGAGAGCCGTCTGGGCACTGAATTCAGGCTGCTTTGCCCTATAAGGGGAGGGATGTGGCTGGTTGCTGCCGACCTCTTGGTGTCGCCCTGAATGCGTCGGTCTGGTCACGATGTTCCTGCAAACCTCTAGCAAGGCCAGTGTCACTCTCTGCTCTGCAACTTTTTCTGTCTATATGAATGAAAAATTGGTATGCCTTTTACTTAGTTATTATTTTTAATTAATTAATTGATTTTTAAAAAAGTGCTATTCCGTTAAAGGGCAAGCCTGGGAGGCAGAGCCTTGAGAAAGGGCGCCGTGTGCCCTCCAGGCTCTGGGAGCGCTCCTCCAGACGCTGCGGAGCCAGCACGACTGCGCAGTGGTAATGGGGGAGCCGCAGGGACAGACCCGCTCGGGGGCGGGCTTGCTCTCCTCTGTCACACTTTGGCCAGACAGCCTGTGCCTTGTTTTTGACCTTTCTCAAGTGATAGCACAAACACCCAAATGAACGTCAGTACGTCTGCACCCCACGTTCTGAAGATTGTCTAGATCAGAGCTGCACCCACCAACCGAGAGAGCTCACAACAGCCGAACCTCGCAGGGTATTTCGAACAACTCTGTGTTTCAGGCAAGGAGATTTCTTGCCAAATGCGCTAAACATCTGGCTGAGCCCCGGCTTAAACTGTAAATGCAGCCGGCACCCTCTGTGAACAAATCCATGAGCCGCGCCGCGGGAGAGGGAATGGCCGGGCTTCTCCCTGCCTGTGCGGCTCTCGGCCGTCTTGGGCGGATACAGCTCTAGATGGCTGGCACAGTGCCTCTGAGCTCATCTAACTTAACTTTCCACAGATAAAGACCCCTCGTTGGTCGAGCCCGGATTTAGCGCAGAGCTAGGGAGGCCCACCCGGAGGCCACTGTGGCTCAGGACCCTTTCCTCCCGCAGGACCAGGCCTGCTAGGACAACAGCTGCCCGACCAGCACCCTGGACTCCTGGCAGCGCTGCTCCTGAAAGCGGGCAGTCTCGATCATCTTCTGGCTGAGCCGGGAGCGCGGCGCGTGGCCCTCATCTCCTGCCGCTCAGACTCACTCTGGGGATTGACACTCAGCTACATAAGATCCCGGGCAAGCCGCGCGGCTTGAAGAGGTGGCTCCTTCCATGAGACTTTGATTTCCGTGATTCTGGTCGGTTTGTGTCTCGGGGACCATGGCTCCAAAGTGCCCTCCAGACACTGGAAGTAATCCTGCTTCTAATGATCATGGTGATGTCCCTGACCTGCTGTGTCCTCTCAAAGGCTTTGAATATGCACTCGCAGCAGCTAACCACCAAGCAAGCGACCGTCCTAAGACTGGGACGTCAGAAGAGGGACAGAGAGGACCATCGACTTAAACATTGTGCCTCTGCGGTCGTGACCTGTGAATCCCACACGCAGGAGCCACAAAAACACACAAATTTCAGAGCGGTAGCCGGGACCCGTGCTGATGCCCTCACTTTGGTCACGTCTCCCAGGCAAGCTGAGCCGTCAGAAGGGAGCTTGCTGAGGGGAGACAGCCGGCCCCAAATGGAGTCCTGGGTGCTCAGCTCCCACGGGCAAACCACGACTCAGTGCCTAACCTGACCGCGGTCCCAGCCTTCCCAGAGAGCAGCGGTAACCAGTCAGCCTGGAGTCCCCGGCAGCGCTAGGAGGAAGCCTGCTGACGACCCCTTCCGTCCCCTCAGGAGGGGG